CTTAGCTGTAGAGGGCAGTGTCACTGGCCCTCATATGTGGGATCCGAACCGGGGCCCTCTGGCGTCCCAAGCCAGTTCTTAACCATCGCGCCACTCTAGTTCCTTTTTAAATGCTGAGGAACAAAGTCATGCAAGGGATGGGAAAGGGGGTGTCCTACTGGAGGGGATTCAGGTTAAAAAGAATCTCTCTTGCTACTAGGAAGATGCAAACAGTGAGGACAAGCTCATTTCTACCCAGGGAAACAGCACTTTGTTAAATGCAGGAGCTTGCCTTATGTCTGTTGGAAAAAGGTCCATTACAGGTGTGCTGGCCTAGGCCTGGCTCCTGGTGAACACCGGATGTTGATGACATAGGTAACAGCCTAGCTTTAGACATCGAGGTTACCCAGAAGTTTGCATGGGGATGTGGCATTTGTACAGAGTTCCTTTAGGAAGAATATAAAGTAATATGCGGGTCAATTACAGACTGTCACTCTCAATCCTGTAGCTGACTGAACCATATGAAATTGCTAATATTCAACTGCTTTTGATCTATAAAATCAGCAATAGAAATGGCAACTCAACCTATTCTATAATATTAAAGGCCAATTTCTCACTAGAGGCTTTAAGAGTGCCTAATCGGATCCTGGTGATAAGGGAAAAATATGACCAGATCAATATTAAAATTGGTCTTGAGCAGGGAAAATGAGCCTCAGGTGGTATATGGATTGAGTAAAAGGTAGGCCGGTTTTCCAATGATCCTCTCACACTAACAGACCATCTCCAGGTGCCCAGTAGAACGCCTCTCAGAGTCAACGCCAGGCTGAGGGCCACATAGTAACGTGAGCTCTCGACCAAATGAATATGACTTGAACATGATTTGAAGTCTTGAAATTCAGTTTTTCAGCATCAACCATTTTACTGATATGGAATCAGTCCAGATCCCGTTTCCATGGTGGGATGTATTCCGCTCTCCTGCAGTCTGCTCCCCAGCTGGACAGCTGTGACTCCAGAAAGAACAGCTTCATACTGGCCACACTGGCTTCCCTGCGCCATCATCCTGTTAGGCCTGGAGCCACACAGAACCCCTGTGACACCTGGTCCACGTGGATGGTGCCTCCTTTCTGCAGACTATTCTCCCTCCACCCTTGGGCTTGGCTGACTCAGCCCTACCACTCCTAAGGGACCTCTCAGCAACCAGGCGTCTCTTTCCAGATGAACTATTGGGTTGTCGGGAAAGTCATGACGCATTTTTGCATTGAAAAACATAGAAAAATATGTCATGACTTTCCCGAAGACCCAATATTATCATCTTGCTCTCCTAATTTCATTCCTAGACTCTTAACCAAATAAAAGTCATGCACAGAATCCTCCTGCCCCCTCCATATCCATATGCACCTGCGTTTCTCAACTCTGCCGTTACTGACATTTGGGCCGGGTCATTCTCTGTGGGGGGCTCCCTGTCCATGTAGGATGTGTGGCAGTGTCTCTGGCCTCGATCCATGAGATGCCAGTAGCAACCTCCACCTGCCCACCCCAGGTTGTGACAACCAAAAATGTCTCCAAACACTGTCAAATGTCCCTTCAGGGGCAAGATCACCCCAGCTGAGAACCACTAAGGTGATACAACATAGAGCCACCCCCACATACCTTCTACCTCTATAAGGCAGAGAGAAGTGGACCTGCCCTGGTCGCACAAGCCGTGTCCTAATCCCCACAGGGACCCCAAGGCTCATCAATGAGCTTCCAGAGAGGTAATAACTAGTGCCTTATGAGTTCTGACAGTCACACCTGGACCCCTCCCCAAATGTCCTGGAGCTCGGACTTCCGTTAACACCCTCCATAACGGAAGACAGCCCATGCTTCCTGAGTGCTGTCTACACACCAGCCACTGTGCTGCTAAGTGTATATATTTGGGTACATATGTGGGCATACATGCGTCTTTTAGGTGTCAAAAGCTGGTGTGACACAGGTCCTATCATCAGATGAGGAAGCAGGGCTGAAAGGTTAAGGAGGCCATGGAGCTGTGGTCTGAGCCCACATGTCCCTGACTCCATTCCTTACAACTCTGCCCTATGCCCTGTACTGCAATAGTGGCTAGGCCTGAGTGTGGGGTCACCAAGACCCCCAGGTGCTCATTTTAGACACAGAGTAAGCATTTAATAGCTGTTAGATATCAATGTTGATTAAATACGTGATAAAATAAAAATCTGAATTCTCCTCACAGACAAGAACAAACGAAAACCAGGAGGAAGAACTGTGACGGCGGAGACCATATGCCCTGTCCGCTCACAATGACAGTGTTCCATTTGCAGCACTGTCTTCCAGTCAGCTGCAAAGCCCTGTGGTTAGGTTCAAATCACCTGTACAAATATACGACAGGTCATCTTTTGCTTGGCAATGCCCTCCTTTCACGCTGTCATCCAGAGCCTCAAGGGACCTGGTCTAATGCCTTGTGAAGATCAAAACAAGTCACCCACTTCCTGGAATATCATGTGCATGCTAGGTGCACTTTGGTCCAACCACAGGGGCAGGAAATGGCAAAGAATTACCCGGGATTTGGGATCTGGACAGAGAGACAATAGGAAGGTGCTATTTTATGGTAGATGATGCAGACAGAAACAGCTTTTCCTCCGTAAGCATTCCGACCTTGACTCGTTCAATAGGAATTTCTGGTATTAGAAAGAACAGCAAAAAGCCATCTACTCGTCTTCCTTACCTTCATCCTCCTCCCCAAGGAGCGAGGCATGATCTCTTTGATTGGTGGGACTGCGCAAAGGTGCTGGAAGCCTTCAAGCGCTCTCTGGACCTGCCTGCAGCAAGCCCGCACTGAGCTTATGTCAGCAGTGCCAGACGAGGCAGGCTCCAGCCCGGGAGGCCTGCAGTGTGCTGCTGCCTCTGCCCCCCAATGGGGAGGTGGATAAGGAGCCCTTTTACAGACACAACTCGGAGTGGACAGGAGGCCTGACCTGGCTGCAGTTGAAATGGCTATCAGAAGAGAATGGAGCATGATGAAGTCACCCTCAATCAGTGTGCCTGGATCCCATAGGTGGTAACGTGAGGCAGGATCACAATCCAAGGGAGGAAAGGCCGGACTGGCCTAGGTGGGAGAGGGTCTGACAGCTTCAGGTCGCCCATGCCCTCAGCAGCCTGGCTCCAATTTGCTTTAACAAAACATTCACATGTAGATTCTGTTCCTACTATAGACAGTGAGGTACTATTTTAAATAAAACTGGGCCAATTATCCATGAGCACACATCTAAAAATAATTTGTACCTGAGAGGTAATGGTGGATTGTTTGGGATAAAACTCAATATATTAAGAAGTCTGTTTAGGGGCCAGCCGAGTGGCACATTGGTTAAGAGCTGGTTTGGGACGCCAGAGGGCCCCGGTTCGGATCCCACATATGAGGGCCAGTAACACTGCCCTCTACAGCTAAGATGCTGAACAATAGCTCAATCTGGAGGTGGGCTGCCGTGAGTCGCCGGCGATGGCATAGGCTGCAGCCCCTGTGGCAGTGGGTTGCCATAGGCTACCGTGTGTAGCCAGCAGCCGCAGTGAGCGG